GTCAATTTTCTGTTGTTGTTGTGGTGTCCAATGAAGAGCCTCAGATGTCTCCATACATCTCTATTACAGCAATGTCCACTATCTTGGGTGTGTAATGGTGCTGTTCTGGGTCCATGTCAATTTTCTGTTGTTGTTGTGGTGTCCAATGAAGAGCCTCAGATGTCTCCATACATCTCTATTACAGCAATGTCCACTATCTTGGGTGTGTAATGGTGCTGTTCTGGGTCCATGTCAATTTTCTGTTGTTGTTGTGGTGTCCAATGAAGAGCCTCAGATGTCTCCATACATCTCTATTACAGCAATGTCCACTATCTTGGGTGTGTAATGGTGCTGTTCTGGGTCCATGTCAATTTTCTGTTGTTGTTGTGGTGTCCAATGAAGAGCCTCAGATGTCTCCATACATCTCTATTACAGCAATGTCCACTATCTTGGGTGTGTAATGGTGCTGTTTGGGTCCATGTCAATTTTCTGTTGTTGTTGTGGTGTCCAATGAAGAGCCTCAGATGTCTCCATACATCTCTATTACAGCAATGTCCACTATCTTGGGTGTGTAATGGTGCTGTTCTGGGTCCATGTCAATTTTCTGTTGTTGTTGTGGTGTCCAATGAAGAGCCTCAGATGTCTCCATACATCTCTATTACAGCAATGTCCACTATCTTGGGTGTGTAATGGTGCTGTTCTGGGTCCATGTCAATTTTCTGTTGTTGTTGTGGTGTCCAATGAAGAGCCTCAGATGTCTCCATACATCTCTATTACAGCAATGTCCACTATCTTGGGTGTGTAATGGTGCTGTTCTGGGTCCATGTCAATTTTCTGTTGTTGTTGTGGTGTCCAATGAAGAGCCTCAGATGTCTCCATACATCTCTATTACAGCAATGTCCACTATCTTGGGTGTGTAATGGTGCTGTTCTGGGTCCATGTCAATTTTCTGTTGTTGTTGTGGTGTCCAATGAAGAGCCTCAGATGTCTCCATGCATCTCTATTACAGCAATGTCCACTATCTTGGGTGTGTAATGGTGCTGTTCTGGGTCCATGTCAATTTTCTGTTGTTGTTGTGGTGTCCAATGAAGAGCCTCAGATGTCTCCATGCATCTCTATCACAGCAATGTCCACTATCTTGGGTGTGTAAAGCTGCTGCTCTGGGTCAATGTCAATTTTCTGTTGTTGTTGTCGTGTCCAATGAAGAGCCTCAGATGTCTCCATACATCTCTATTACAGCAGCAGCAATGTCCACTATCTTGGGTGTGTAAAGCTGCTGCTCTGGGTCAATGTCAATTTTCTGTTGTTGTTGTCGTGTCCAATGAAGAGCCTCAGATGTCTCCATACATCTCTATTACAGCAGCAGCAATGTCCACTATCTTGGGTGTGTAAAGCTGCTGCTCTGGGTCCATGTCAATTTTCTGTTGTTGTTGTGTCCAATGAAGAGCCTCAGATGTCCCCATACATCTCTATTACAGCAGCAGCAATGTCCACTATCTTGGGTGTGTAAAGCTGCTGCTCTGGGTCCATGTCAATTTTCTGTTGTTGTTGTCGTGTCCAATGAAGAGCCTCAGATGTCTCCATACATCTCTATCACAGCAGCAGCAATGTCCACTATCTTGGGTGTGTAAAGCTGCTGCTCTGGGTCCATGTCAATTTTCTGTTGTTGTTGTCGTGTCCAATGAAGAGCCTCAGATATCTCCATACATCTCTATCACAGCAGCAGCAATGTTTACTATCTTGGGTGTGTAAAGCTGCTGCTCTGGGTCCATGTCAATTTTCTGTTGTTGTTGTCGTGTCCAATGAAGAGCCTCAGATATCTCCATACATCTCTATCACAGCAGCAGCAATGTTTACTATCTTGGGTGTGTAAAGCTGCTGCTCTGGGTCCATGTCAATTTTCTGTTGTTGTTGTCGTGTCCAATGAAGAGCCTCAGATGTCTCCATACATCTCTATTACAGCAATGTCCACTATCTTGGGTGTGTAAAGCTGCTGCTCTGGGTCAATGTCAATTTTCTGTTGTTGTTGTCGTGTCCAATGAAGAGCCTCAGATGTCTCCATACATCTCTATTACAGCAGCAGCAATGTCCACTATCTTGGGTGTGTAAAGCTGCTGCTCTGGGTCAATGTCAATTTTCTGTTGTTGTTGTCGTGTCCAATGAAGAGCCTCAGATCTCTCCATGCATCTCTATTACAGCAGCAGCAATGTCCACTATCTTGGGTGTGTAAAGCTGCTGCTCTGGGTCAATGTCAATTTTCTGTTGTTGTTGTCGTGTCCAATGAAGAGCCTCAGATGTCTCCATGCATCTCTATTACAGCAGCAGCAATGTCCACTATCTTGGGTGTGTAAAGCTGCTGCTCTGGGTCCATGTCAATTTTCTGTTGTTGTTGTCGTGTCCAATGAAGAGCCTCAGATGTCTCCATGCATCTCTATTACAGCAGCAGCAATGTCCACTATCTTGGGTGTGTAAAGCTGCTGCTCTGGGTCAATGTCAATTTTCTGTTGTTGTTGTCGTGTCCAATGAAGAGCCTCAGATCTCTCCATGCATCTCTATTACAGCAGCAGCAATGTCCACTATCTTGGGTGTGTAAAGCTGCTGCTCTGGGTCAATGTCAATTTTCTGTTGTTGTTGTCGTGTCCAATGAAGAGCCTCAGATGTCTCCATGCATCTCTATTACAGCAGCAGCAATGTCCACTATCTTGGGTGTGTAAAGCTGCTGCTCTGGGTCAATGTCAATTTTCTGTTGTTGTTGTCGTGTCCAATGAAGAGCCTCAGATGTCTCCATACATCTCTATCACAGCAGCAGCAATGTCCACTATCTTGGGTGTGTAAAGCTGCTGCTCTGGGTCCATGTCAATTTTCTGTTGTTGTTGTCGTGTCCAATGAAGAGCCTCAGATCTCTCCATACATCTCTATTACAGCAGCAGCAATGTCCATTATCTTGGGTGTGTAAAGCTGCTGCTCTGGGTCCATGTCAATTTTCTGTTGTTGTTGTCGTGTCCAATGAAGAGCCTCAGATGTCTCCATGCATCTCTATTACAGCAGCAGCAATGTCCACTATCTTGGGTGTGTAAAGCTGCTGCTCTGGGTCCATGTCAATTTTCTGTTGTTGTTGTCGTGTCCAATGAAGAGCCTCAGATGTCTCCATGCATCTCTATTACAGCAGCAGCAATGTCCACTATCTTGGGTGTGTAAAGCTGCTGCTCTGGGTCAATGTCAATTTTCTGTTGTTGTTGTCGCGTCCAATGAAGAGCCTCAGATGTCTCCATGCATCTCTATTACAGCAGCAGCAATGTCCACTATCTTGGGTGTGTAAAGCTGCTGCTCTGGGTCCATGTCAATTTTCTGTTGTTGTTGTCGTGTCCAATGAAGAGCCTCAGATGTCTCCATGCATCTCTATTACAGCAGCAGCAATGTCCACTATCTTGGGTGTGTAAAGCTGCTGCTCTGGGTCCATGTCAATTTTCTGTTGTTGTTGTCGTGTCCAATGAAGAGCCTCAGATGTCTCCATGCATCTCTATTACAGCAGCAGCAATGTCCACTATCTTGGGTGTGTAAAGCTGCTGCTCTGGGTCAATGTCAATTTTCTGTTGTTGTTGTCGCGTCCAATGAAGAGCCTCAGATGTCTCCATGCATCTCTATTACAGCAGCAGCAATGTCCACTATCTTGGGTGTGTAAAGCTGCTGCTCTGGGTCAATGTCAATTTTCTGTTGTTGTTGTCGTGTCCAATGAAGAGCCTCAGATGTCTCCATGCATCTCTATTACAGCAGCAGCAATGTCCACTATCTTGGGTGTGTAAAGCTGCTGCTCTGGGTCAATGTCAATTTTCTGTTGTTGTTGTAGTGTCCAATGAAGAGCCTCAGATGTCTCCATGCATCTCTATTACAGCAGCAGCAATGTCCACTATCTTGGGTGTGTAAAGCTGCTGCTCTGGGTCAATGTCAATTTTCTGTTGTTGTTGTCGTGTCCAATGAAGAGCCTCAGATGTCTCCATGCATCTCTATTACAGCAGCAGCAATGTCCACTATCTTGGGTGTGTAAAGCTGCTGCTCTGGGTCAATGTCAATTTTCTGTTGTTGTTGTCGTGTCCAATGAAGAGCCTCAGATGTCTCCATGCATCTCTATTACAGCAGCAGCAATGTCCACTATCTTGGGTGTGTAAAGCTGCTGCTCTGGGTCAATGTCAATTTTCTGTTGTTGTTGTCGTGTCCAATGAAGAGCCTCAGATGTCTCCATGCATCTCTATCACAGCAGCAGCAATGTCCTCTATCTTGGGTGTGTAAAGCTGCTGCTCTGGGTCCATGTCAATTTTCTGTTGTTGTTGTCGCGTCCAATGAAGAGCCTCAGATGTCTCCATACATCTCTATTACAGCAGCAGCAATGTCCACTATCTTGGGTGTGTAAAGCTGCTGCTCTGGGTCCATGTCAATTTTCTGTTGTTGTTGTGGTGTCCAATGAAGAGCCTCAGATGTCTCCATGCATCTCTATCACAGCAGCAGCAATGTCCTCTATCTTGGGTGTGTAAAGCTGCTGCTCTGGGTCCATGTCAATTTTCTGTTGTTGTTGTCGTGTCCAATGAAGAGCCTCAGATGTCTCCATAAATCTCTATCACAGCAGCAGCAATGACCACTGTTGACCAAATATAGAATATAATAGAGAGCTTGATTTCATTGAAAACCAGCTTCCCTTTATTAAAAGAAATAGATATAGAGCTGGTACCTCCAGAAATAACTCCAGTCATCATATCTCCACCTTCCATATACTGGTTCTACAATTTTCCTGCAAACTTAAAAAATTCAGTATAATAATCCCATCTTTTGAAGTTCACCTTCCATTGTCTCTATAAGAAACACAATTTATTGTAAAAACGACATTTGAAAATTATCCTGCATGTGTTTCTTTTGAACGAAAAAAATCTAAATTTATTTTAAGGAAAAATAACGATTATTTCTAATCTTAGGGATGAAGTATGAAAGGATGAATTGTGAAGAGTAATAATAAACGGGAAAAATAAAAGTGTCCAGGGATGGGAATCGAACCCACAGTTTTCCGCTTACCGGGCAGATGCCATGTCCTTAAGCTACCGTGGACTCATTTCCGTTCGTATTGTGTTTGTGGTTTCACTAGCAGCCTGGCTATCATTATTGTGTGTGAAGTTTACTTGCAGCTTGGCCTTACCAGATCAAATACATCAGGCACAGTTTACTTAAGAATAATAATGAAATTGCAAGCAGTCGGTGATCACCACAGCTGAGAGGGCAGGCAGTTTTACACAATGCTCTTGTATACAACACACTTACACCCATGGTCAAAACTTAAGTGGAATCTCTTTGATCTCACCAGTCATCTATTTTTTTTAAAGAGACAGAGGCACTTATCTCTTGTGTCTTCAATAACCGTCATTGTATATCAAATATCTTTCAGAGTTATTGTCTGAATCCCGATATACATGCTAAAAGGTACAACTTCCTTAAGTTTTGTCCATGAGTGTATCTTTCAGAGTTATTGTCTGAATCCCGATATACATGCTAAAAGGTACAACTTCCTTAAGTTTTGTCCATGAGTGTAATTTCTTGATACACATTGTTGTTGTAGCACATTGTAAACAAAAAAAAATTACAGAAAAATTCAACACAATCAAATTCAACACAAAGTTACACTTTATTGTTTCAATTTGTTGAAAACCAAACTATAAATATATATAATGAAGGTCTCACACAATCCATCCAATATACAACATGGTACAATAGTGCATAGATCCAAATACATATTGTGCAGAAAGATAAATAATATATATATATATATGAGATACCCGCGGATTATAATGAGCCAATAAATTCTCACACATATTTACATATACATACACATATATAAATATATTTTGTCATACATGCAAATTTTCTAAATACAAGGTAAACCCATCACTACTCACTATAAAATCACCAGAGGTCACACACAATATAAACCTGGTAGAACTAAAGTGAAATATGTCAAGTCAGAGGGATTGCACTTTCAACCTATCATGGAACAATACTTGCCCTAAATAAAAGACAACAGTAGAGCCTTAATATAAGTCGCATAATCACCTAAAGCAGGATATTATTAAAAGAATAAATTCTTGCCTTTGTACAGGATTTTTAAAGATTATTTTAATAAAGGAAATAAGACCTAATCCAAATAATTTATTAGTGTGTGACGTTTCGGCAACAACATTGTCACCATCATCAGACAAAATTTTATTCTTTTGTCTGATGATGGTGACAATGTTGTTGCCGAAACGTCACACACTAATAAATTATTTGGATTAGGTCTTATTCCTTTTATTATAATCTATAATCCAAATTGTGCTTTATCAAAAATTATTTTAGTTCATTTTTAACCCAGTAGAAGGGCAGTCGTCCCAAATATCATAATGACAAAGGAGAGTTTCACACAGAGTGAAGAAGATGTTTTGTACTAGCAGAGCACCAATGGGTGAACTTACATAAAATGGGGTATTGTAAAGATAGAGGCTGCCTGGCCGGCGGCATTCATAGTTCTTAAAATTAAAGATACTTCTGTCAGTAAATCTTTTTATTATCTCGACTTTTCAACAAAAATATTTTGTCCTCATCGTGTCAGGATCTTATAAAAATTGAACATTTGGCAAAGCATTAAAATTATTCTATGTATAGTTAAACCTGTCTATAGCCCCCTCTTGGGACTCACTAAAATAGGGTGCTATAGAGAGGGGGTGCTATAGACAAGTCACTTTTAATGTAAATCGTATCGTACTACGTATTTAAAATCAGGTGCTATAGAGATGGAGGTGTTATTTAGAGGGGGTGCTATAGACTGGTTTAACTGTAATTTTTAATGCTTTGTCAAATATTTTCATTTTTGTTCGCTCCTGAGGACAAAAGATTTTTGTCGAAACGTCGAGATAATAAAAAAATTTACTGGCCGAAGTATCTTTAGTTTTAAGAAATGTGGGGTATGATGGGAATCAATAGTTCCAGTTCACTCTCATATAGGTAGGTATCATTATTGTATTTGCATAACCTGAATTCATGACCATTAGATAGTTTTGTGTGCATATGCAAATATGTATATAGCTTCATCTTTTATTATATTTAAAAATTTGTAGATTGATTTATATATATATAAAAAAGATGTGAGAAAAAGAACTCACCCTTTTAATGCTGTGTTTTCTCAACTTCTTGAAGTAGAGGAGAGCTTCAGATCCTGAACTCTTTAAAAATAGAATCTTCAAGTGATGGCTTAGCATCAACATTGATATTCCCTTTGGAATTCATTTTCTTCAGCTCATAGGAAGAATAACTTCTTAGGTCCATTGAAGTCTATAAAATTGATAAAAGTCAATAAAATCCAAATTGTGCCTTATCAATTTTATTGACTTCAATGGACCTAAAAAAATATATTAAAAAGGTGTATCAATCATTTTGATTTGCAAACAACAAAAATAGACATTTAAAAAAAAAACTATAAATATTTCTTAGAATGAGTTTCTTTTTTTTTTATTTTAAAATTCTTGCAAGCAATAATCACTCTTCAAGGGGGCTTAATTAAAAACATCGACTGTTTCTTTGAAGAAGTGTTTATAAATATACGTGCACAGCGTGGATATTTAGAAGCTCAAAAATTTAAACTGAAAATTCAAATTTCAGTTGTAATATCCACGCTGAGTCTTCTTCTTGATAAGGCACAATTTGGATTATAGATTATAAAACAAGGTAATAAGACCAAATCCAAATAAATAAATAGTGTGTGACGTTTCAGGTAACAGCTTTGTTACCATCTTCAGACAAAAGTACTGAATGAGAAATTAAATCTGCTATCTTGTTTATACACTTGATAACAGTAACTATTTAAAACATGCTCTGGCAAAATTTCTCATTCAGTACTTTTGTCTGAAGATGGTAACAACAATGTTACCGAAACCTCACACACTATTTATTTATTTGGATTTGGTCTTATTATCTTGTGTTTATAATCTATAATCCAAATGGTGCCTTTATCATTGTTATCAAGTGTGTGAACAAGATTGCAGTTTAAAACATGCTGTTTTAAAATTTTTCATTCTGTACTTTTGCCTGAAGATGGTAACAACAACGCAGAAACGTCACCCACTATTAATTTATTTGGATTTGGTTTTATTACCTTTTGTTTATAATCTATAATCCAAATGGTGCCTAATTTAAACAACTAAATATATTACTAGCAAAATATAACGATTATTGAAGAGGAGTGTCTTATACAAACTTTATTCACAAGCTTTCGGACACATGTGTCCTTCTACAAGCTTGATCATCGTAAAGCCTGTAGAAGGACACATGCATCCAAAAGCTTGATCATCGTAAAGCCTGTAGAAGGACACATGCATCCAAAAGCTTGATCATCGTAAAGCCTGTAGAAGGACACATGCATCCAAAAGCTTGTGAATAAAGTTTGTATAAGACACTCCTCTTCAATCATCGTTATATTTTGCTATTTTTATTCGAAGATTTCAATTTAGTCGATTATATATATAATTACAATAAAATAACTATGTATATGTGGTGGATTAGAAAACTAATCAAAGAGATGGAGAGAATGTGTGTTAACACACCTGGAAATATTTATGCACTAATTACTAGAGATTTATAAATAATTAAACACTCTCCCTCTGTCTTTCTAATCAGTTACATCTAACAAATGTCATCTCCGACTTCTATATATAATTGATGATTGAGGAACTGGGGTATATGTATATAAGTATCGAGTATATGTAAATAAGAAAGTTGGGAATAAATAAGTATATATATATATAATTGTCTGTATTATCTAAATGGCTCTAGCTAGTATGAAGTCGTCCAGAGAGGAATGACAGCACATCTGAACATGCCAGGGGATACATCTTTGAACATACCTAGAATACTCAACTCCCCCTCACAAACCTGTTATAGTGATGTAAACTTTCACCTGTAATGTTGATTTGGCATTTGATCCTAACACTTATTCTTCATTGTGTGTGTACACAATTCATGAAAGATGGAGGACAAAGTACCTTGGAATGGATTTCTTATGTACATTTGTACCTTATAGTGTTTGAGCAAAAAAAGAGTCAGTCCTTGGGGGGCTGGGGGCGTGTGGGAGGATGGAAAGGGAGGAGTGGCAAGATGGAAGGGGCTGACATGAATTGAGCGGCCAGGTTGGAGGGGACTACCAGAGCTGATGGGGCCAAGGAAGTCACCAGACCAGGCGGCATGAGGCCGTAGTTAGGGGGAAGGCCCAATGGCAGGGGCCGCAGTTGCTGGGCCGTGCGATGGTGCTCCTCTTTTACTGCCATTGGCTCTGATGGTGGGGGAGAGACATCCTGGCTGGTGACATCAATGGGCGAGGATTCTGGAGAACTTGGTTCCTCCACCTTTGGCTGTACTTTAGGCTCTTCTTTAGGAGGTGCTGCAAGGGCTGCAGTAAGGTTGGGCAGTTTGAACTTCTCTGCCATATTCTCCTTGGCCCCCTGAGTGAAAGAGATGGAAGGAGCATGGCCCGGAACCAGATGGGTGATCTTCACCGATCTTCTGCCTTTCTCTGTGAAGATCTCGGTGAACTGGTCAATGTATTTTTGCACGCAGACCTGGTCCCCGAGCTTGAAGACACAGCTGGTCCCTGAGTCCTGGCCATCCCTGCCAATGTACAGTTTGCCCGTGTATTGCTCGTCGATGGAGTTCTGGAGGATGGTGATGTGGGTGAAAGAGACTTTCCAAGAGTTCTTGTCCTGCACCTCCATGATGTATTCCTCTACCTCCACATTATCATTCTCTGCCGCTGGGTTGGAGATGGTCAGAGGACAGACATTCTTCTCCATATTGATCTCTTTGGGGACGTCTAGGTTGGGTAGAGTGACTCGAAAGTTATCCACACTGGGCTTCAGTGTCCGGTACAGCGAGGGCTTGTATTTCTTGACAAAGTCATAGAGTCTTAGAGGTTTGGGGGCCTTGCATTGCAGGAGTTTGTTTCTCTTATTCCTTGACAACTGGGAAACTGAATTAAGAGCTCTCTTGAGAGATGGCTTAGAAAAGAAATTTCTCTTAAAATTTATTTTATTC